TGCAAACAACTGTCTGTTAACGCGACATAGGGGAATTCAATTTAACACTCCTTTTAATATCACTCAGAGGAAAATAGAACTGAACACTGAGAAAAGTTAAATGTTTTCACTTTGACAAGCGATTTGTACCAGATTACTGTCAACAAATGAGAATAAGAAAGAGGCCTCCCTGTTTGCTTAAATAATTGATGCTTGGTGGAACATCTGAAAACTGACTATTCGAGCAAAGTTATCATTAACATAATATATATTTGCAGAGAAAATTAAGTATGTTTAACACACAATGTAATGTATTTTTGTAAAATATGTCTTAAGAAGTTTACAGATAAGAGCCCTAAATAATTTATATTAGATAGTTTTGAAACTCATGTATGTCATGAAATAATATTATCGTAACATTTTAAACAGATACTACTCGATCGATAACTCGTGTACTCATTTTCTATTTATCAATTTTTAGACTGACAATAGGTTCATCTGCTTCTAGCAGGATGATAATGGTTTGCAAAAATTTGATATTGTGACTTAAATTTGATCCGATGTAACAATACTTATTATTCTTAAAATTTTATTAATATTCTTATGAAAATAAAATGACAATTGTGGCCTAGGTTTTTTTTGTCATTTCATTATTTTTTCTTTTGCAGTAATATTAATGTTGTTGACTCTAACCCTTGTTCCATGCTGTGTTGTTGCTTTGGATTAATTTTACGCCAACAAATTAAGATGAAAGTCACAATAAGACTGCTTGATGTCTGCAAAACCCTCCTTTTTTCCCATAAAAAAAACATGTTTGATAAATCTTATTTGTACCTTATTATAATCAATGTCAAATAAGAAAATAGCCAAATTCATTGAATTGATATCACCTCTAAAATGATTCATATTACAAATCTGAAGCTTCAGGTATTATGCATGTTTATATTAGTATTATGTTACTAAATATTATATTCAAATGTAGAGTTACTGTTCATAGGCACTATATAACTCTTAATTGATATTTTTATACCTAAGCTCTTTATATGTATGGCCCAAAGTAAATAGAGTGCGTGTCCTAAACGAGAAATCAATCGGCGAAACTAAAAAAAAATATTTTTGAATGGGGTTTATACGTTATAAAGCTGTCAAAAGAAAGAATTGCATAGTATCTTAATTTAGGTGAAACATTTTCTATTTTGATTTAAATTCAATGTTGGATCATAAATTGAAAAAGTATATATGCATTTGCATGTAAATAGGTGTAAGGAATTGAGTTCCTTGGTCTGAAGAAATGAGTATCAAGAAATTTAAACACTATATTTTAAAGGCTTCATGTTCTCTGTTAAACCACACTCTCCTGCACGCAATATATAATTGATTAGCATTATATTTTATGAGAACAAAACCCCATAAGTTTTACTGGAAAACATTATTAACAACACACATAATTAAAATTTGCGCAATTATCTTTAAAGCCAGTGATGACTTGGAATGATAATCATTACGTTATAAGAATGTCTCGATATGGAAAACCAAGACTGATTTTATAGTAATAAAATAGCTTGACGCAATATCCGTGCAGGGGTTCAATAAAGACAAAAGCAATCTTAAGAAGAACATTAATATTGACTTTGTCAATAGAGCGCATGTTTCTAAAATTATGCTCACTAACATTGAATATTTTTATATATATTTTTATGTTTAAATCATGATTTTTTCTTGTCATAGACTATGACAATTTATTTATTAACTGGTAAAATATTATAAAAAGATCGACAAATAAAGGCGGCGTTCAAAGAACGCAACCCCCACACGATCCATTTAACAAAGAGGCAGTGGCAAGGAGCCCAGGAGGAACCCCAAACAAGAATAAAAAAATTCTACGTAAGACATAATTTTTTATATTAAACAAGTGTCTGTATTTCATCCTGTAATAAATAAGACTATAATGCCGTAATGGAGATATACCTGTTTCTTTGTGCATGCCATGCTTGAAAATATTGGACTGCACAGATAAAGTTAAGGTTCCTGACAATCAGCAATCCCTTTGCAACAATTACAGCTACTAATGTGTGTGCATTTTGTTAGGATATTCTTATAAATTTTTTTTCTTTTAATCTGTGAGTTTAATTAACGATAAAAGCACCAATATTTTCATAATCTAGCAAACATATTCAAATTTAAATTGTTCGCCAAGTTGGCGTATGTTAGTCAACATCGAAAATTACCTAGTTTGCATTAAGGATAACCACAGTAAATACTTATTGTTGCAAAATTTGAAAGCTATTATTTATCTTCTATTTCTGATTCACGATTAATTCTCATTTCATATGTAGCAAATATATTTACAATACTGTAAACACAGATCTAGTCAAATTGACGCATTGGAGACAACAACATATGAAAATGGAAAATATGCACTAAAATTATTGTCATAGAAATTGAATGTATCCATAGTGACTGTCTGATGCACTAAGTTTCGTTTGTTATTTGCAATGTGAAGTATCGAAACTGTTGTTTCCAATTATAAGGGCAATATTTAAAATATACAACTTCTGATGAACAAAATATTTAAACTTAGTATATGGTATTGACATAACTGAATGTTATCAACGCTTCAATACACGTTTATCGTAATATGCAAAATTAGATAAGATAAGTATTTTTTTTGCGATGAGCCTTGTTCCATCGAGAAAATTCAAGTGGTCTGACGGATTAGGTGGTCATTGCCAAAATCAGGAGGACTTGTAACAACGGACCACTGCTAATGTCGAGGCCTTACGTAATATGTAAATTTAGATAAGTAAGGGTCAGAACGTAAAATGGTTGCACACTTGGTTCATTCAAGAAATTTTTATTCCAAACTTGACAATAGGGCTACGGAATTTTTACAACAAACGCACGTATTTTCTTCAGGTAAGTGGTTGAATATGTTATTTTATATTAAGGAATTGGCATATCAAAAAAATTCAAAATGACATACAAAACCACTTACTTGTAGAAAATACGTACCAGTGCTGTAAATATTCGTGACACTCCGTAGCCACGCCCCGCCCCTTAGATAAGAGAAGTAGTTTTTTTAAACATGTAGATAATAGACGATTGGAATACTTTCTTTTGTGTTTCAAGTAACAAAATGATGTCTAAATGCACGATAGATAGAGACATAAATTGTGTACCGGAGACAAATGACAGCGTTCATTACTTCAAATAATCTAGGATGAAATGGGGGAAAGCTGTTTTTTTTTTTTGTGATAATAGTAAAAGACGGGTAGCAAAACCCCGGGCGAAAACATCAATCATAAAAAAAGGGTTTTTTGGGTAAATTTTCAAATTGTTCCGGGGAACGCCCACTGAAAGTTTTTATGAAATTTTACAGTTTAAAGTGGACGTGCCATCCCTTTTAAATTTTAACTTCATTTACAAAAAATTTATCATTTATCGTAAATCCCCCTTTTTTCGGGGGCCCTTTTCCAAAGTAACACGGGGACCTTTTACAAACTTCAAGAGAAATTTTTAACCGCCCCCGGGTGGTCGAGGGGGTTTAGATTTCGAATGATTTTTTTAACCATTACCTCTCTGGCGGGGGTTTTCCGACCCCCGGGGGCGTCCTTGGGCGTGCCGTTCTTTTTTGTTCTTCTTTGTCCGGCTCGCGGTGAAGTCGCTCTAAACGACGCGAACACTGTCCGAGAACATTGTTCCCGGGTCAAAATTTCACACTACCTACTAACCGGGAGGACCGGGAATTACTCCAGAACAAAATGGCGGAAATTGAAAGTAAGACAAATGTTAACATAATTCATAGCGTAAAATCTCTCTTAAGACGTTAAAAAAATGTTGTAAATTAACGAATTACAACAGTATAAACTGATAACCGTGAATATAGATTACATACAGTGTGTCTAACGTCATTGATAGTACATGTGGTTGGCTAAGGGCGTTTCGTACTCAACTTCTTCGTAACTGTCAAAATAATTTCATGGCATTAGTCAATTCAAAACAATATAATATTAATATATTTTTTATGTTACACTTTATTATTCTGCCCACATAATTCTCGTATTTTACTTGTTTTTGTACACGTGTAATAGTTTTGTTCAAGCTCACGAGGTGGGATTCCTTGCGCCAAAATAATGGTGGACCAAAGTGTTTTTTAAATGACATGTACATATTAAATGTAAATCTTGTTAGATCTATTTATATGTTACATAAATGTGCTAGTCTAGAAAAATATTTTATTAATAAATAATTGAAATCTTTTGGATTTCAGTCATTCCTCTCAAAAAATTTGAGGGGTGAACTGTTTTACCAATTTAAGGGGGTGAGTTGTCTTCAGTTTTTTAGGGTTTTTTTGAGAGGTGAGTTGTCTAGTTACTTTTTTACCCCTTGTGGTATACTATGTCCAATACTTTAACATATTAACTTTTTTCTTTCAGATGTCTAATATAGATGGACGCTGGACTTGTTACCTTTGCCACCATTGCCCTTCTTCAGCTAATTATCAAAGCTTATCAAAACAAGAAGACAGTAAGAAAACGATTGTTTTTGTGGATACAGATTACAGGTTCTTATTAAAACATGTTGATATTGCTTGATTATGTAATAATATGTTAAAGATCATTTTAGTATGGCATGACAATTTATATAATGTGGCATGAATTAAAATGTGCCGGCTGGATTTTAGAAATGTATAACTGCTTAACAATTTAAAAGGAACAACTCTCAGTGCAAGATCTATTTCATTGCGATAGAAAATAGAATCATATAGCATTTTGTATTACAATATAAACTTACAGTTTGAAAGCACTTCCAAAAACATATCTGGTTTTTGGTAGTGTTGTTACCAGTGGAAGAGGTTTTTGATATAGTTAGTATAGTATATTTATTCTCTAATTCAAATCCATGTTGACTTGATCCAGTTGCCACACATTAAAATTTATTTGGATATATATTATTGTATTGTACTTTGGCTTAAGAAGTTACGATAATGTAAGAGAAACTATTTTCAGGTTGTAATCTGCGCTGTTGCCATTGTCATTTAGCCTTTCATCCTCAGTGTGAAGTGTTTGAGCTAGAGCTTATTCTTACTGGCGAAGTAAAAGAAATTTTTGTGCACACCTTGCGCAAGCAAAAATGGCTGATGATAATAGGTAAATAAATGAGAAAATAAAGTTATCTAAATATTATATCTGCATCAAGTAATAGTCAACATCTTTGATGTTATAATGTGGCTGCCAGTATTTTTTATTATTGTGAGGATATTATTGAATTTGGTTATTAGTATATATATTAGTATATGCATATACTAATATTGAAATATTTATTCATCATAATTATTTTTAATTCAAGACTTTGAAATATGAAAAACTTTTTAAACACAATGGTGAAGTATTAGTTTGTGAAATTAAGTCTACATTCCCTGCTTTTGTATTTGCATGAATTTTTCATGCCATTGCCAACAGTAATTGAAACGCTTTTCATGTATCAGTTATAACTGTTATAGCACATTATCATAAAGATGTAGACAGTTTTATTGTAATTATTCATCAACATTGTTTAGTTGTTTTTGATAAATATTGGATCTCCTTAAAAGCTTTAAGTTTTTTATCATTTTTCAGACTTGGTAAAAGACATGTAACACAGATAAATGTTTGACTTCTTCTTTTCAGAGTCTAAGTACAGTTGGAATCAAGTGGAGGTGGCCAGACTTTACTTTTGGTTGATAAGTGATATGGCTAAACAATTACAGAATGGTATGATATATATTATTATCTTAAATTTATGACATAATTATACATGTATGAATTGATGTATGTAACCTTCAAGTCAAAAGTAGTAACAAGCATACCTAGGATTCCAAATTTACATAAAAACCAAGTTTATCTGCAAGACCAGTTTCTCTACATACCATCACAAACTCCAGTTTCTCACTCTCTTTTTTTTAAAAAATTTATAGTCTTTAATTAAGATATCCTAAAGAATAACTTAGCTACTAAGTTAATGTGTTTGTTTATATTCATCAACAGGTCAGCTCTGGGCAGGATAATGAACATGTAAAATTATTACTGGTAAAACCCAAATCATTAGTATGATCAAGTATTCTGTTATACCAACTGTTTCAGATAATTTGTTTTCAGATGCAACTTTCCGTGAAAATTTTTCAAAGGTGCCTCCAAGGATCAGAAGAAAATAAAGCTGAAGACAATTCATGTAAATCTGAAGAAATAATGAAAGATGATAACAAAGGAGGTATTGTATACTGTATTACAACCTTCCTGGTAAATCTCAAAATAAGCTAATATATGGCTGGCATAATGAATAAATACTTTTTTAATAATTTCCAACTGACTGGAAAGATGTGCATGAAATAATTATGTTAAACACGAATATACAATGTTTTACATGTATGTTTTAGTAAATGGCATTAACACTTTTGAAAAAGGAAAAGTAAGAAAAAAAGATGGCTTCTTAACATCAAAATAATCAATTAAAAATATGAAATCTAATGGTTACTGTCCAAATTTCCAATGATAATCCCCATGCAATATCCCTGAACATCCACAGCCTTGTTAAGTTATTAAAAATGGTAAATTTTCTGTATAATGTCTTTTGCAGAGGTAAGATGGAACCTCAAAGCTACCCCAGCTATTGTTTTAATGCGTATTGAAAAAAATGATGTAAAATTCCCCACATGCAGAAGACTCACTCAACTTTGTGGGATGAAATTTCAGCAGTTTTGAAAGAAAAGGGCCACATTTTTCACTGGGGGGAAACCCAATGTAGCAACAAAATATGGAAGTTCTAAAGAGAGACTATCGGGCTGTTTGTCGACCACAACCCCAAAACTGGCTCAGACAAGAAAACTTGTAAGTTTTTTGATGACTTTAATCAACTCTATGGAAATAAGCCAAGTACCAGACCAAGTTTTTACTATCAAATAGTGGTTCCACTACAAGTGCATTATCTAATCTTCAATGTACAGATGCTGGGTGAAGGTCAAATGCAGAAGTTTTCGCCAGTGAAATAGAAGATACAACTGACAGTGGGGAACCACCAGAAAAGAAACCAAAAACACCAGGCAGAAAAAATAAAGAAAAAAGAAACTGGTGTTGATAGAATGGTTAGCTTTCTTACATCTTACCAGGATGCCCAAAAGCAGATGCAAGAGGAGCATGAAATGTTTGTAAAAGAACAGAATGCTGAAAAGCTTAAAAGATTTGATCAGTTTGTTGGACATTTTGGCCAAAAAGTAATATTATTTGTCTTCCATAGAAAGATAATTTTAGTGACAATGAGGACCTTATTATGTGCCCCATCATTTGTTTTCTTTTCTCAAAAATAGTTGGATAAGAGGTTTATCAATTTAATACATTTTTGTTTATATTTCACTGTTCATAAATAGTTATATTTACCATAAGCTGTTTTATTTCTTAGGATTGAAAGGCAATAGCACTTGTCAAAATTGTCATGAAGATTTTGTTATTTCCAACTAGTCATATTTGGTACTCATCATTATGCTATGTACACATTTGGAGAAATTGTTAGAGTTATATTCATTATTGTTGAAAAGGCAATAGCACTTGGCAAAAATTGTCATGAAGATTTTGTTATTTAAAACAGGTCTTATTTTGTACTCATCATTATGCCATGTACATATTTGGAGAAATTGTTAGAGAGTTATATTCATTATTGTCATGAAGATTTTGTTATTTCCAATTAGTCATATTTTGTAGTCATCATTATGCCACATACACATTTGAAGTACTTAGTTATATGTGTTATTGTTGTGATTTATTGATAATTATTGTGATATTTTGATTGTGTAAATGGCATCATTATTCAGTAAGAATTATGTTAATGATCTCATTATTCAGTAAGAATTATGTTAATGATCTCATTATTCAGTAAGAATTATGTTAATGATCTCATTATTTAGTAAGAATTATTTTGTATTTATTTATTGAGTTTTATGTTGGAACTTGGCTTTCTACACAAACAGTGTAATAAAATTGAAGTTAAAGTTATAGTTTTGTTGCATTAATTTTTTTTGATGTTTACATGTAAATTATACAAATACTTATTGCTCCATATAGATATGTATCACCAATCATACTATGAGCTTTGGATGAAATTTGAGTTTGTGACTTGCAACATCTATTTTAATGCCAAGAAATTATTCATACAAACAGAAAAACAAGCCATTATATTTTTAAAACTTTTTACTGGCAGAAAAATGATAAAAGGAATATCATGAATAATTTCATATATGCTGGCCATATACAGTGATACTATATAGAAAATGAAACAATCTTACACAATGCATTGTGTGACTTTAGAAATACTCATGTTGGTATAATGCTTAAACGACAAAATACACATGGAAACTATTAATAACAAAAGATGACAGAGAATTTTCAACGACTGTTGCCATGGAAAATGAAAATATGTTTTTTGACCCTCAATAATGTCATTTATTTTAAACAAAAAAGTATGCTGCATCATCAAATCTTACAAAGTATTTGCTATGGTATCCCGAATTTGTACAGCCGTCTGCATTGTTTGCAAATATGTTGGGATAGTTGTTGACATCCTGAGCTTGATTCATGTCAATGAACTGTTCAATTTTCATCTTCACATAAAATACATAAATTGTGTAAGACACAAGCTGCTAGAACTACTTTACAAATATCTTCAATGTTATGACAATACAATTTCTGCAAACGTCTGAATCTGCCCTTTAAAAAGTGCATTAGCTCTCTCAACACATTGTCTAGCAGACGATAAGGCACGATTAAATCTCCTTTGATTGATTCTTAAGTGACCATTGTCACGGTATGGAGTAATTAGCCAGTTCTTCAGTGGATATGCTCCATCCCCAATGATGAATTTTCTGGTAGATATTACTCTTCCAGTTTCTGCATTATTGAAGAATGCAGAGTTTCTTTAAAACTCTAGCATCGTGTGTGCTTCCTGGCCATCCAACATACGCATCCATTATCATTAAATTGTCATCAACAACCAACTGCAACTGTACCGATGGAAATCCTTTCCTGTTAATATAATCATTTTCACCACCAGGACAATTCACAATAGGTATATGAGTGCCATCTATTACACCCACTATGTTATCAATGCCACATGAATCATAAAATGAATTAGAAATTTCCTACTTCCCTCTGAGCATTAGCCATTTTTATGTAACAAATCACTTTATCACAAATGCACTGGGCTTCACTGTGAATAATTGTATTAACACACTCCATTCACTCAGTCCAAATAGCAAAAGCTATTTTCTCTTTGACTGTTTTTGATTAGCAACATACCACAAAAATACCAAAATCTATGTCTCAACAGAAACCGGTTGATAGCCTCCATGAAATTCTTTGATCAAATTTGGGGTCAGTTTGTCAACAATATGCTGGAATACATGCACACTAACACGAAAATGACGGCTAAACTCAGCACTAGACATTTGATTTACACAGTCCAAAAATGTAGTGACTTTTGTCGTTCTGTTTTTTCAGCAAACAGTCCAGCACAACAAGCCAATGGGATAATGTCAGAACTAAATGGTGCATTATCATTCTCAAATAGGTCTTCAAGGCACTGGTAAGTTGCTAACATACTAGCAATCCATTTCTCAAATCATTAACCTGAAAAAAAGTAATAAAATGCAGGTGTTGGTTTCATTCAAAACAATTTACAAATGAAAATATAATAACCAGCCAAATTAGTATTTCCATGTTTACACATAAGTAATGAGTGTATTTGTTAGATTCAACGTCACTGCAGTACTGTAGACGTAAACATATCTTAGTTTTGTAAACATGCTTGTTTGTGTCCAGAATGAATGAAATCTGTGTGATTCTAATTGATTTTGCAGTAGAAACAACTGAAAAATGATGTACCATTTAATAAATGAAACATTACAGAATCGTGTTTAATGTAGGCCCCTACATGTATATTTACTAATTAAGCCTCATAAAAAAATATCGCGAATATATGTTAAATTAGGTTTTGCAAAAGAAAATAAGTTCAATGTAATGCATGTGTCCTAGCGAAATGAATAACTACGTTCTGCGCAATATTATTTTCATAAGGAATTCATATAATCTTTGGCCAAAACTGTATATTTTCACACTTAACGCCTCTTGCCATTTGTTTACTTTACCTGTCCGTGATACTGTTTCCTGTTTCAGGTGTTAGGGCATTTCGACACTAGTTACGTGTGACGACTCACTCGATTAAATCCGTGGAACAAGCGCCCAAGGACGCCCCGGGAGATGCTTTGGTAGTATAGTGCGGAGGAAGGTAGTCAAGTACTGGTGTAACTCTCCAGGAACGATGGTTAGGAAAACTACCCCCCTATATGACTGAAATACTGTTGGAAAAAGGCGTAAAATGACACAAAACAAACAAAAAAAAAACTGCATTCATATAACATATTATCACAATATATTGAATATGTAATATCATTTATGTACATTTACAATTTAAAGATCCTGTAATGTTTTTGTGACTGATATTGTTACTGTGTATATACCACACTTGCAAAAAAATTATATATGTATATAACTATGCCAAAAATAAAACAATTTTTTAAACATCGAAGAATATGTAAAATGTGTACTGCAAATATTTGTGCAACATTATACTTAACCAATAAATTACATGCATTCATTTCTTATTGGAAAAAATTGACTAAGAAAATTTATAGAAATAAATTTTTTAATTACCTCCCTTTATTTCCATGAAATGTTAAATTGGGTAATATCTTTTATAAATAATGCTTATTGAAAACTTACAATATTGACAAATCTTAATTTGAGCATCACATTAATGAAATAAAACATAAATAAATTGTGTTACCCGGATCTTTAAGCAATATTTTATAATTTTATTGTTACCAAATAATATTTTCCTAATTATCTTAACAAACGTTTATCATAAAAAGCTATTTTGTTTCCTATCTATTACATTAATATTCTGTTTTGCTCGGTTTGCTTTGCGAGCATGTACATAAAGCTTCCATTGGCTGCGCAGTATCTTTGGTTGCATTGTATCAAGAGGCAGGACTTAAAGTCATTGCACACTTGATTCAAGTGAGAACATCGGTTGTAAACTTAAGAAATGGCTATCGAGTCATGAATATTTACTACGGTCGTACGTATTTTCTTCAGGTAAGTGGGTTTGTATGTTATTTTGAAGTTCTTTAATATGCCTATTCCTTAAGGCAGTTATTATTGCACACTCGGTTTAAGGTCTCGGTTTGGTGCTTTCTGGGTGTCCTATTTGGGTGTGTCGGGGGGCTGCATCCTGTGAACGTTGCCTTTGCCTTGTTAATCTTTATTTTTTTATGTAAAATTATATATATCATTCGCTGTCAATGAGCGGCAACTTGTACAGTTCGTATTTACTGTAAATAAAACTATTGATATATTACTTGACACATCTAAACATGGTTTCTGTGTAGACCGCATCTAGAGCATATATTAAAAATTATTCCAAATTGAACCTATTACATTCAGTTGATTTGATTGTATTTTTCTTATTAAAATCGCTAATATATAAACAGTAAATAACGATCATCTACCGTTATCATAAAAAAAAGAAAAAAAACCTGATTATTATAATTGCTGAGACTTACTATCAAATGTCTAATTCTAATTATTAGATTAGTGGACACAATAACAAAAATTCACTACCAAATATTTGTTAACAAAAGAACACATGTCACTGTTTGTGGTTAAACCTATTGTTATTCAAATGAAAGGTCAGAGTAGGGATCTATCAATAGTTTGCACATTAAACATGAATAGGGTAGTTCAATACTACATCTGAAAAGTAATTTTGCACAGACATTTCATTTGCTCTTCGACTTTCTTTATGAATTTCCGGTGTATAAATAATTATTATAACATTTTGTAGGACTGACTTTGTTGTTAGTTTAATAAATAAACTAATGCAGCTCGTTATAATTGCAATGAAGATAATGGAAATTTAGATATGGTCAGCACATAATATATTTTTTCTGCATTAAAAAGAGTCCATCAAACGTTTAGAATATTTTATGATTGTTTAAATTTTGATTTCGCTTTGTGATATAAACTAAAAGAAAATTATTTCAGCATTATGATTTATTGCCTTATATTTACAAACGCAAGAGATGATGAATTAAACTTTGTTTGCCATTGCTGTCCAAAGGCAGGCTCAGTTTAACCGACCCTACAATTCAGCTTTGTCGTGTTAAATTCTCTTCAAAGTTTCAACTTTTAACTGATACATCATAGTGGTTCGATAATGATACACCGAATTTTACGAATTCAAATCGCAAATCGATTCCACTGTCTGAGACTTAATTATTTAATTAAGAGTCTGAGTGTATAGTTAAAATGATGGAAATATAACTGACTCTATTCCGATAACAGCCCAAGTGGAAAATAATTGTTAGTTTGGCATATAATTTATAATACACCATGAAGACATAATATAATCTTTGAAACTATCCGATACAGCGCTTGTACGATTAATAAATATTCATGCATATTTCATTTATACTTTTAAGACAATAATGGTTATCTTTCCACTTTGGATGTTTATCAGTAAAATATTTTAAGAAAAAAATATCAACACTACAGGGATTGTTATGCATGTTATTTACAATTAATGAATGAATTTGCAGTATTTATCACAATACGTGTCTAACACAGAATTTGTTGCAAATTCTGATATATATAGGTCTACTATGGACACATAATTAATTAAAATATTATTACAAAAGATAAAAATTTATCATTTAAATGTTCTTATGGAAAAAAATGTTGATAAAATCAAAGTCATTTAGAAGATTATATAAATATGATGAATATTAATATTGTGTTCTAGAATAATTTTTATCTGATATATGAATATATAATATATATCATAATAATATTTTTTTTTCTTCCATTGTCACCCAATTTACTTTAAATAAAACAATTCATGAAATTAGGATGAATCTGGAGGAATGCTGCTTTAACATGTAACATTTCAACCGTTGAAAATTCTGCTTTTAGACCCATCGAACAAATATTAACGACTCGTAACATATCATGATTATATAAGTTTCATATCATATCGTTGTCAATAAGAATAAACATTGGCCTCTAAATATAATTAAATAAATTACATTATTTAAACTAAGAATTTTAGGATTTATACTTAACAACATAAGCATTTATATGTATACCATTTTGCTCCCCAGCATAATGTCTAAAAGTGTAGTAAATTAAACGCCAATTAAAAATATGTTGTTATACAAAAAAAAAAAAATTACAAAAAGAAAAACAAAAAACAAAGCAACACTTGTTTTGTTTCAACTTTGATCAGCTTGCACTATGATGATACTGTTCTTATGATTTTCTTGACTCACTAAGATGAGGTTTTAACATTTTTATTGTGATTTTACAATCTGACTGATAGGTTAGATAAATCACTTAATATAAATCATGTTATGACAAAATAAAAGACAAAATTGAGATAAGATATATTTACAGAGGTATGTTGAAAGCTCGACATTAAGCACCATTCTTATTTGTTATTTATACTGCCATGATTTGTGAGAATGTGTAGATTTAGTTATCCTCCATGAACGTTTTCAGTAATTAGCTTTGGACTAATGTCATTTTTGTTATTACTTGTTGCTTTTTTTAAACTTGTAAATATAAACAAAAAAAACTAGGCTTCGCGTTTGTCGATGAATTGATGTTCATAAAAGGAATACTGTTTCCCTTTGTTAAAACTTTTATTGTTTGAATACAAAAAACTCTATCATCATAGAAGCATCTTTGTTTTTCTTTTTATTTTCTTTTTGTGTGTTTTATTTCTTAAATAATGCTTCTTTTCGTAATTTTCTTGTAAGTGATTTTTTAGCATATGTAATCGTGAATGTACATTTTAGACAGTTATACCATTTCTAGCTAGTATAACAAGTACATCTAAGTTGAGGTTAGTCAAATGAAATAAAAAACATAGACGTAAATAATCTTGTCTTGTTGTTAATGGTATTTCTGAAGATGGTGGTACTCAGGAGGTTCTGGGACAGACAATTCAATCAGGCAAATGGTTTCTATAACACAATAAAGCAAAGATACGATTGATGGTTCCACTAAATGAAATAAAATGTCACCATAGACTTTTTATTACCTAGAAATACATTTTTATTGGATTTATAGTGTTTGTCTGTAATGTTTTTACATTTTTTTATGTCTTTTCTTTTGTAGCCATACAAGACAAATATATTTAATATATGAAACTATAGTTTGATTTAATAATCAAATAATAATTATTGATTATTAATACCGTCTGGATATTGCACTCTCGTGAAAGGACTTCACGCCTTTTCCTAGCCATTTTGGAAAAGTACCTTGCCCAGTTTGGGAAATTTTGCGTCGAAAAATTTCTAAATTGGGGAAAATATTCTTTTTAAACTCTTGGCATATTATTTTGAATAGTGCAAAGGCGTTTTTTTTCAAATCAATGCAAATATCATTAAAAGCATTAAATTAATTCAAAATTTGATAGTGAAATGAGTGGAAACATCTGTGAAGTTTGCCAGTTTTGATACCGAGAATTTCAGTTCAATTGGAATTTTTTTAAAACATGATGGGACTATAGTATTTTTAAGATTTATTAACTAATTCATGTAGGCCTGGAACAATAACTTCTTTGCAAAATTGTAGATCAGTCTCTCAGACCACCTTTTCTGAAAGACATAAAAGAAGGTTTTAAACGATTTTAGCTCAAATTAATCTACGAATAGCCAAACAAAAACGTTTTTCATTTCAATTCTGTGTGTATCAGTTATTATCATTTTCATTTATTTCTGTTTTAACTTTCCCAAATCCAAATGATCTTTGTTTAAGTTTAAAAACGTGTTTAGACTTAAGTGGAGTTCCTTTAACTATGACCATCAAAAGTATAAAACTGTGTGATTAGATGAGGATATGAAGATTAACAGAGGAGCAGTGATTTCAGAAGGCAATCACTCAATACTTCTTATATTGTTTCGTCAAGGTCAGTATAAAGGATCGAACTGTGCAAACAAGTCATGAAAAGAGAGGAAGGGAAGAATGATGCATTTTGTGAATACAATATACAACATAAATAAAACGCTATCAATTTAAGATTTCATTTTGTATTAAAGTATTAAATATCAAAGAAGCATGCACTTAATTTACACTACAACATCAATCGTTTACCGTCTTGCAACTGTGTTGTTTTTCATAGTATTTTTTTACTAATTGGATTAAGTTTAATGCATGTATGAACATCAATCATTTGTATCTGATTAAATTTAACCTGATCAGCAAGATTTCCCATAAACACATGTGTGTCAGCAAGTGTAACACTTTTTGTATTTGTATTATTTAAGCAAACAAATAATGGTTGTTGTTAGAGCTGACATCGATTGATACTGGCTTCCATTTCATCTGTTATCGACTTAATATCATTCAGGCATGCTTTAAGTAAATTGGTCTATAATGGAAGGCCTAAATACCAAAACTAATTAAATATGTCGTTAGTATTTAGTGTCAGGCATAATAATAAACTACAAAAGATTCCTACATGTTCATGTACTTTGTTGGTTAGTGTGTCATACATTATCTGAGAAAAAGCTAGAAAAATAATGTTTCATCATTGATTTTTTTACTCTACAACATTTTTTCCAAGAAATATTATAAAAGAATATCCAAGTATCCAAGTGATGAATGTGTATTCTGTCTGTTTTTCTCAATTCTCAACATTAAAAAATTTATGATAAACAAGATCATCAAGGAAAGGCGGCGTTCAATGAACACAGCCCCCACCCGACCCAGTAACAAGAGCCAGTGGCAAGGAGCCCAGGAGGACAACAAAAACAGGAAAGGGCATAAGGCAGAGTACGGGCAGGCAAACCACTACCTAAGAATAACTAATTAGAATCTGATAAGGAACTAAAAGAAACAAATAAATAATTGAACACTACTGTAGGCCCATAAAGTCAAAAGGCACAGGGGAAGGGGACATGAGACCCGGGAAGGGAGGGGGGGGGAATAAATAAAAACTAGGGGCAAAGGGGAAGATTGCACATTTTACACCAATCTACTTGAAGCAATTATGTTATTTTTTCTTCTTTGCCAAACTTTGCATTTCATCATTAAGCGGTAGAATACATGTTTTGTTTTGTTTTTCGAGAGAAACAAAAACAACAACAAATGAATTGCCAATTATCTATGTAACATGACATGACTAAATACCAACTTTCTTTCAATTAATTATATTAGATTTCTTTATTTAACCAACTTTTTGTTAGAATTGAAAAAAGTAATTTGATTTAATTGTTTTGTTTACAATACATAATTAGTCAAAAAGGTTGACTTATCGCGATATTATGTAAAGGAAATAAAATAATGCAAACTGCATAATGTTTCGAACATTCGTTATATAATCAAATTGTGTTAGTTTATCAGAAATCGCAATAATGACAGTGTGCCGTCATACAATATTTAAGATTAGCCGATGCTCTCAGATACAGTTGATGAAATAGAACGACATAAAACGCGATTACGCCTTAGCGACATGACTACTTTATAATAACAATATTTGTTATAAAAGTTGTACATTAACAAAGAGTGTATGTCATAAGAAATTTTGAATTTTAAGTGATTATAAATGAATATATCGTAGTAAACCTCCAAAAATATAATAGTATAACTGCATAAATCGAATAATTAGCGTTAAATTGACAATGAAAAAAATAGCATTTGCCTTCTTTAACAATATAAGTTATTCCATTGCATCTTGCAAAAGGTAGAGTACATACACGTCAAATAACTACGATTCATTTTAGCTCGCCTATTCTATGAGAATAAGTAGAGCCTTACTAGTCACCCGAGCTTCGGCGTCGGCGTGACCACTTATGTTAAAGTTTTTGTAATAACTCAAATATTTTCGAATTCCATTGACAGATCGTTTTGATACTTTGCACACTTGTTCACCATCATGACGCCAACTACTAGACAGGTGGAGGTAACTGTATCAAGTATTTTGACAGAATTATGACCCATTTTTGACTTAGAATTTATGTTAAAAATTTTGTAACACTTAAATATTTTAAAAGTCTATTGGCATATGACTTTGAAACTTTGCACACTTGTTTACCATTATGCCCTACATCTAGTAGACAGAATGAGGTAACTCTATCAAGCAATTTTACAGAATTATGCCCCTATTCCGCTTTAGAATTAAAGTAATTGCTTAACGCCTAAGATATTTTCATATTTCATTGACATCTTGCTTTTAAACAAGTTGTAAATTGTATTCACTTCTTTGTAAGCATAATATGACTCTCTCCAAGGCATTTAACACGGATCTGTAAAGATAATACATAAATATTTTTTCCCCATAGTAGTTCTATACAAATTGTAAATGTTCACATTTAATAAGTTTGTTTACAGTTTTATTTATTTTTTAAAAGCTTCAGGAAGGATTTATTTCAATACCGATAGTCCATTTTTAATTCACGCCTATGATAAGGAAAAAGAGCATACTTAAAAAGATTTTCCAAGGACGACTTTAACCCATGAGCATATTGCGAAAAGTGGCCGTTTTCATTGAAAACCCCCTTGGCAGCGTTTTACTATAATTGCGTAAGTTTTTCGTAAGTATTTTCCTATCTTTACGCTTACGTTTAAACTTATGTAAATCGTAAGTGTGTTTCACAAAACGTTCGTAAGTTTTTTCTTAAACTTGCGTTAAAATAGTGCGTAACTCGTAAGAAGGTTTTCAGAATAAGTCCATAAGGAGGAGTTAAAGTAATATTTAATAACCGCATTTTTGAAAGAGGCTAAACTGGTATTTCGTAGAGTCAGCTACGGACACTCATGAATGTTGCTGAGCAATTTGTATTTTAAGTGCATATTGTGCCAACGGCAATCCACCACAGAGGGGTTCCTCCCGATTTCTAATATATTTATAGAGTAGAAAGGAAAACACAATATGATCCATCATGGAAGATATTGAAAGGGTTTTTGTTTGTTTTGAGAAGTGAAAAATATGTAATGTCCGCAAGTGAAAATGTGGATTTTCACTTAATATTATATCAAGGGTCGGCCGCAAAAAATATGATAAACAGGATCAACAAGGAAAGGCGGCGTTCAATGAACGCAACCCCCACATGACCCAGCAACTCGAACCAGTGGCAAGGAATTCTTTATTTCATATAAGTTACTGCAGTTTTGCGGTAAACCCTTGATGTCATTTTATAAAATTCTCCATTAATCTACACAAAGCATAAGTAAATAGAGAATACCATGCTAGTGTCTGATATTATAAAATTTATCAGGCAAGGCTAAGAAAAAAATGAAGGTCGAGGCTCTGCCGAGCTCTTCATTTTTTTTCGTGCCGAGCCTGATAAATTTTATAATATTAGACACTTGTTTGGTATTCTATTTATCATGTTTTCAATTTCAATTGTTGTTTGATTTTTTTTTTATTTTAATTGAAGCAAAACCCTATCCAGAACCTATTCAGACGGCGCGCAATAATATGTGAAATGTCAAATCAAAAAGAAATAGTCCCGAATGTTTTAGTTAATTGTAAGTGACGCGTTCATATTCAAAATTTCTATTCGATTCAAAGTTTATCAGTTAAATATTTCCAACCCAGTAGCAGGAAAATATATTCCATTCTTTTTATTTCATTTCGCAAATTTCGCATATTTTTGATGAGGTGTCTGATAAAGTTTGGGGTGACTGATAAAGCTAGGTTTATCAGGCATGCACTTTATCAACAGAAATCAATGTAATGACATGATAAAAATAATATAAAACGCTTAATAACTGATTTATAATACTTTTGGTCGAGGTCAACCACGACTTAGGGCGGTATAGAATACCAGTATAGTTTTGGAGAAGACAATGGTAATTAAAAGACTTTGGTCTTTAAGCCGATAGGACGATTTCCATATATATTTGTAAATGTCTTTTACTAATATTAATTTTTAATAAGTCCATATGCCACATTATCATTTCCTTTCTTAGACTTTACTTTTCTAGAGCCTCTTTCACCATTAAAATATATTACCAGTCACATATGTCTATAAAATTCTCGGTTTCCTGCTCTTCCATTATTCGAAGATGATGTCAGTCTTACTTAAGTAAGTTCTAAGTCAACAAATTTTAAGCATAACTTAACGTAAAAACTTACGAAATTCTTACTTACGCAATTTTTTAGTAAAACGCATTTACGGAAAAGAATCAGACGTAAGTTAAAACTTACGTAAATCTTAGGCGTAAGTACGTTAGTAAAATAATAATAATAATAATAATAATAAGAGAAACATCCGAAAAAATGTTAAAAAACTAACATAC